AAAAACAAGGGATTTCAAATTGCCCCACAGTGACCCTGTAGGTCTGCTGGCACTGGTGAAATTACTCTCTCCACCTTCCCTGGAGAGGAAAGGCCTGGAGAGAATCCAATAGCCCCCATGATATACTAAATCAGCTTCACAGTATTCCAGAATCTAGTTTAGTGGTTTGGCAACCTATAAAGCCTCATCTCCTTCTCTGCACTGGGAAATGCACTTTTCATTCCAGGATCAAGGAACATTTTCCCAGATGATGCCTGGTTCCCTGTGGGAAATGCTCTCATGGAGGATGGTCAACACATAACGGTGGGCAGAGGGGAGATGATGATGTGCTTTTCTCAGGTACCATTGGCACGATCTTATTTTTTTGATATAAAATTCTAAATTGTGTAAATTGAGACTCTTGTAGTCGGCCTGGAATAAAGCCAGCAGAGCTGTCAGGGTGTGACAAGGGAAGAACAGGGAAGGCAGGAGTGAGTCAAGACCCGACTGGCTCTTTGTGTTCTCCCTCATGTGCTCAGAGGTGGTTACTGGGAGCAGGAGCTGGAGTTACACACCCAGGAAGGGTTGTCTGTCCCGGGATCCTCAGAATGTGCTACTAGTGGTGAGCCAGGAACACTCATGGGAGGGCAGAAAGGAGATACTGGTGGAGGAAGTGGCTTGGTAAACACAGTTTGGGTTTCTCAGGGCTGTTATTCCTGTAAGAATTCTAAGGTAACTGGATACCATCTACTGTAGCACAGACATCCCAATCTCCGAATGTGTGTTTGAACTGAACCTCTCCCATGCCTCTCCAGTGCATAATTTTAACTGGGCTTTGGATCTGTTGGTTGGGGATTTTGGTGGTACTCTGTGTGACCCCTGCCCATGGTACCTGCTGAGGTCAAAGGGATCTCTTAAGAGCTGAAAAAAACCTTTTCATTAAGACCATTGTCCACATGGAAGCAAAAAACAGGAAAAGCAGCAAGAATGCAGCACATGCCAAGGTAAGCAAGGTGTGTTGACACAAAGCCTTAGCTGGGCAGCAGGATGAAGTGACCTATCCTACCATGTGTACAACCAAGGTCACCAACACCCCTTGACTTTGGCATAGCCTGCACCTCTGACAAAGATTTTTCCCTCACAGGGGTGCACTGAGGCTTCCAGAGACCAGATGGTGGATCCTCATCCCAAGGCAACTCTCCTCTGGGACTGCAAAGCTGGACCCAGCACTCAATACTCAGTTTTGTCCAAAGAAGATGGCTTCAGAGGGAAGGTTTCCACTTTAGCAGTAAATTAACCCTAAACATGGGGAACCTGTTTGCAGGTTATGTTATCGCAGATGTGATTTAGTTCACCTGGGATTTCCCTTTTTCTCCAATTATTCTTCAGCATGCAAAAATACCTTTCACTTCAGAACTTACTGGACTTGGATTTAGTGGAATGGTTGGCAGAGAGACAACATGGCCTGGATCAGCAACAGAGTGGCAGCAGGACCAGGGTAGTGACCCTCTCCCTGTGCTGTGGAGCTGAGGCCACACCTCAGATCCTGGGGTCACTCTTTGGGTCTCTCATGACAAGAAAGACATTGAGGGTCTGGAGCATGTCCAGAGGAGGATAGTGGAGCTGAGGAAGGGTCTGGAGCACAGGTTTGATGAGGAGCAGCTCAGAGAGCTGAGAGGGGGATTTGCCTGGAGAAAAGGGAGCTCAAGAGGGACTTCTCACTCTCTACAACTGAACTCACTTGTGTGGAGATCCAGGTTTTGACACACTGGTCCCTCAACCCCACTGGCTTTGGGGCCAGGGCTGTTTCCATATGATTCTGTGAAAATCTCCCTTGTGGCAGGGCACTGGTCATGGCCAGCACCTGACTGTAGGAAACACAAAGGGTTCAGCAAAGAACAGGATTTGCTGTCTAAGAAATCTTCTCAAAAGTGCAGAAAGTATATCTAAAGAAGTAACAAGTATATTACTATGGCATGGGAAAAAAAAAAAAGAGTCCCATGTTGTGAGTTCACACACATCAGTGATTTCTTTCTTTCAAGGAAGAGAAAATACAAATAAGATCAGAAGCTGCATGAGAATAGGCTGTGAACAACTGCCTCTCCCTCCCTTTCTCCAAACCAGAGCATCTGTATGAGAAATGCACATACAGGAGAAAGGCAGTCAGCCCTAGTTTATTCCTTCAGAAGTACTTCAGGGAAAAATTCCTCACGAATGTTAGACATGAGAGCTACCAGGTGTCGTGGGTTATAATCTCTGTAAGGGATAATGAGTGAGGAGCTGCAAGGGAAAATGAAACAGGTGGGTGTCTCAGACGAGCCAGAGTTTCTCCTCCTTTCCACCTGTGCAGAGACACATCCTCCAATCTTGGCAAGAGAGGTAAGGAATGGAAACAACTGTCCTGCTCTTTCTAGCTGTCTCTTTTGCATCTTTCTCTGCTTGCTTTTAAAGGTATTTGCTGAAGTGGAGGCCTCTTTACAGACTCCCTAGAAGCACTGTGGTGTGGGAGCATCTTTCCCAGTCCTGTGCACACTTCCCAAGGACAGTGCCTCGCTGCCCTCCGGTGGCAGCAGCCTCCAGAACAGTCTAATTTTCCTCTCCTTTTAGTCCCTTTAGCCCCAGATCCTTGTGGAAATTATACCACTAATTTTCCATAAAAATCAGAGGTTTAAATGCCTTCGGTGAGCTCACTTTTATTTTGCAAATGCTGGAGGAGTTGCAGAGCAGGGTGACTTCGTGGAGAACTTGTCCCTTTAGCAGAAGGTGTCCCACAGAGAACATGTCCCATGTACAAATGTTGTATCTCTGCCTGTGTGAGCACACATATATCCCACACTTCACGCATGCTCTTTCCCCAGTATTCAGATGCTGCATTTCACAATACAAAATACACACTGAAATTCATATGTGGTCAGAAAGAGCTGAAAAAAAGCTCTTTGCAGAGAGGGGTAGTTTTGCCAGTGCAACAAAACTTCATGAAGAAAAGATTAACACCCAACCACGAGCATGAAGCTATTTCATGACATTTAGCTGCTTGTTTTCTATGAGCAGATTAAGATAGATTTCTCTAAGAAGATGTTCTGGGAAACAGTTTTGCTCTTCCAAGACCACAAAGGTCAGCCCTATTGTCATCACTGCTGGTTTCTACCACACAGGATTAGTCTGCTTGCTTACCTTTGGACTGAAATCTTACCCCTTCCTTTCTAATCATAGAATTATACAATGTTTGGGTTGAAAGGGCTCTTAAAGATCCTGTAATTCCAACCCCTGTCATGGGTGGGGACACCTTCCACTACACCAGGTTTCTCAGAGCTCCGTCCAAGCTGGGCTTGGACACTTCCAGCCACAGCTTCTCTGGGTAACCTGTGCCAGGCCCTCACCACCCTCACAGGGAACAATTCCTTCCTCATCTAACCCTGCCCTCTGGCAGTTTAAAGCCATTCCCCTTGTCCTGTCCCTCCAGGCCCTTGTCCAAAGTCCCTCTCCAGCTCTCTTGGAGCCCCTTTAGACACTGGAAGGGGCTCTAAGGTCTCCCTGGAGCCTTCTGTTCTCCAAGCTGATCAACTCCAACTCTCCCAGCCTGTCTCCAGAGCAGAGGAGCTCCAGCACCCTGAGTATCTCCATGGCCTCCTCAGGCAGCAGCATTGTCATATTGGGGGCCCCAGAGCTGGAGGCATCACTGCAGGTGGGGTCTCACCAGAACAGAATAGAGAAAGAGAATCCCCTCCCTCCACTGGCCATGCTTCTTTTGATGCTGGAGGCTGGTCATACTGTGACACCTGTCACCACAGGTTTGCTGTACAGACCTTCTGCCCCCTCCAGTACCCACCACCATCACTGCTTAATAGGCTGTAAAACAGCCTGAGGTGAGATCCAGCCTCATTAGGCAAGAGCTGCGTGGTAGAACCCTCAGCCCTCTGCATGTTTGCTGGGACTAATGACTGCTTTTGGACCTGTTTCATAAAAGAGACTGAGGAGTGCTGAAAAAGCAAGTATTGATGCTTTTCTTATTCAAGATACTTGCATTCAGTCATATTCCCCATTCCTTCTCTTCCTGTATCGAGGCTTCAAATAGAGCTGCACTGAAATGCCACTGATTAAGGGCTTAGTCTATGAATAGATTGCCTGCCTACAACTAGATAATGTGAATTACTTCCCCACTTTCCATTAACATCCATGCTCCTGCTGCTTGGGATTTCTTGGGCAAGTAACTTTACTGCTGAGCAAACTGTTTGGCTGAGTCAGCAGACAGACACAGCTCTTTCCACAGGAATCTGTCCTTCCTAGGGAGAATATTATTCAAAAGAAATTACTACCCACCATAATGTTCCAGCCCAGCTTAGACCTACATGGAGAGAAATATGTTGATAAAGATCTACCATAAACCCACTGAGTCACTTCAGGAAATTATGCTGAATTCCAGCAATATACACGCAGAGAAGTGGGAGTTTAAAAAAAAACATTCATGGAAAGAAAGAACTGATGTTCACTTTTGATTCAGATGAGAAAATTTAGCTTTGTTTTTTTACTCCAGATGAGACTCATCTCCTCCCTGACAGTACAGAGTGAGGCAGAGCTGGAGGCATCCTCTGGGGTATCAGAGGCCATGGTGGTGCTGACACCACCACTTCATGCCAGGGAGAAGACTGCATGGTTGGAGGGATCCTGTTGCATCCAGAGCTTTGATAGAGGACAGTCTTACCCACCTAAGTTGGATGGCCTTCCTGGGTAGGATTCCCTTTTTCCATGCAAGTCACCTAATCTGAAAAGATGCCACTAAAACAGCTGGCAAAGTATATCCAGGTGACCTACTGTGTGTATTTCCTCTCCATGATGACTTTATTTCATGCATTCTCCTAGTCCTTTATTCATTTGTATTTATAATGACGTTACAATATCTTTTGCCTCATATCTTTTGATCATATATCCCTTGACAGCAGCATAAAACCCTGTCACTAGTGAAAAATGTGTTGATAGCACCTTCTAGCCCTGTCTTGTTCCATTTTCTTTGGTTGCTGTAGCTCTTCTTACCCAACCTTACCTCAACCAGTATGTCTTACACCTATTTTATTGGTCTGGGGGCTGCAAGTGGCAAGGAGAAAAGTGCAGATCTGAACCACACTGAAGGGATCCACTCCCGGGTTAAAGAGGAGTCAGAAAAGTAAGAAAAAAACATAGAAGCTGCTTCTTACAGGGGTGATTTGTGGCAGACAAAGAGAATTTGTTTGAGACTTTCCTGACATTTTTAGGGTGCTAATCCTTTGGCACAATTCTTTCACCAATTTAATCTGGTTTAGTATGGTTGTAAACTCGAAACTGTCTTAATGGGTAGCATGAGAGTCCTTACCAAACAGCCTAACCTCCAAAAGTAAATCACAGCTTCCTGGAACAACCACATGATCAACACAGGGCCACAGAGGTGCCCGGGGAGTGTTTGGGAAGGTCTCCACAGCCAGTCTGGAACAGCTCCATGATGTGGATCCCCTCATCCGGGTGTCTGGGTGTACCCTGTGAAACGAAAATACCCAGTAAATCGCTTCCTTGGCATCGATCTGGAAGGTCAGGAGGAGAGATCAAGTTGCACAACACACACCTTTGATGCAGACCAGAGCCCATGCAGTATAAATTCGGAGGCTGTGCCGGGTTAGACCAGACCACCAAAGCCAGGATGGACCTTCAGGTGCGTCTCACCTGGCTGCTCCTGCTAAGCACTACTCTTCTCTCTGGACCAGGTACTGCCTTTACAATTTTTTCATGCTTGCAGGGGGATGTTACAGGCAGAATCATTTACTAATACAGGCTGGCTTGCTGGGAAGTGTGGCAAAGATTCTCCCAGAATATTGCTGGTGAGCTGTGCACCATAGAATTCGTGGTTTAAATTGACTTCTAATTAAAAGATTCAGTCCAAATACGTAGCTTATATTCAAAAATACATGTATTTTAAAATACAAAATATAACATATATTATATATATTATATGCATAATATATTATATACAACATGTACATTAAGTACATTAAGATAATGTACTTAAAAATATAATCTATGAAGGTGATGGACTGATGAAGGATGAAGAATATTTCTTTGTCTCTTTGCTGTGATAAGAATAGTTTGTGGAAGTTGTTCCCTAATCACTCACCTTCTAATATCCTAGTTTTAATTAAAAATGTTGTACACTGTACATTTTCAAATGTGGAGAAAGAGAGAAAAAGAAACACAGAGCAGTCTGCCAGACCCAGCTGGAAATATAGTCTGCTGCAGTGACATCTTCCTTCAAACTTCAAACAATAATCCCAAACGTCCCCTGTAATCTTGCTAGTTTAAATGAGATACTTTGAGCTTTAATTATCAGCATGAGCACCAAGAAAAAAGTCTTGCCAATTCCTTACAAAAAGAGATAATTTCATAGAGTGTGGATTAAGTGTTGGCTATATTGAATTATTCAAAAAACAAGAGCAAAGACAGCCCAGAGGGAAGGTCAGCATCAGAGAGTACAGTGATGCATTTCAAGAATGTGATCAAATCCCAACACTTCAGTAATAATATGATCTTGGTCCTTATTCCATAGGTTCCTTTTTCTCTTTGATTTGACTTTATGTAGACTGGATTAATTTTGACTGGAAAACCCCCTTAGGATCCTGTCTTGCAAACCTAAGACATTAGTATCACTAAAACAAAAGTCTGTGAAAGTGAGTGTCTGGAGATCAAATGCCAATTTGAAAAGGAAGTAAAAAAATCCCCAAGTGAAATTTCCCCTGATTTTAATGAATGAATCAGGCACAGGTTTTCAGAGCATGCCAATTATTTTTAAAAGCTGATATTTGAAAACACTGCTCTGGCCCTTGGCAGCCTAAATCCTTTTTTCTTTCATGGATACTGGTAGGGTTTCTAAGGTATTTATGTGACTAAGACTACAGATTATCAAATCCACACATCTGATTATCAAATCAGACTGCAGGTTAGTATCCCCTTTTGGAAGACCATTTCATCCTCTGGCATCTGAACCATGATGCCATGGGCTGGTTTAATCAAACATACATTTTGTTCTATAATATACTGTATTATATAGTATATTCTTCACTGCAGAGTTAGACAAATCTGGGTTTCACATGCAGACCTGAGCAGGCATTTGCAGAGATTTAAGCTATAATGTGCTGCCAGAGAAATCAGGTGTCACATTCTGCACAGACAAATGGTCCACAGCCTGCTCTGCTCCTTCAGCAATCATATATGGCAAGGAACCTTTCCTGCTGCCCCAGTGAAATTTGGCAGAGCTCAGCTCCCAGAAGCCCATGTCTTCACTGGGGGTAAAGCTATATGAGGATTTCTGGGGTCAGATCCCTTTGCTCTTTGTGCTGTCATGAAATAAGATTGTCTACAGCCATCTTCCAGTGAGCCATGAATGAGGGAACAAACTCATCTCCACCTCTCCTACCTCTTTTCCTAAGGGATTGGTAATATTTTTTCACAGTGATCAAGCTCAAAGCATCTCATTCAACCACAGGATTGCCTTGAAAACACACCACATGCCAGCATTTACTGCATGTAACAGGAGGAATTTTTTCACAGAAAGGTTTGTCAAGCATTGGAAGGGGCTGCCCAGGGAGGTGGTGGAGTCACCATCCCTGGAGGTGCCCAGGGAATGACTGGACAGGGCACTCATAGCTCTCATCCAGTTGACAAGGTGGTGATCAGTCAAAGGTTGGACTCAGTGAGCTTAGAGGCCTTTTCCAACTTACATGATTCTGTAACTGTATCAACACATAACAGGTACCATCTCACAGCAAAAGATAAAACACACATGGAATCGTGGTGCACTACTACAATGCCAATATGTTTTCTTCTCTACCACAGCAAGTGGCACAGAGGGGAACCCACCATCTGGAGATAACGAATCACTATGGGACAGAGTTTCAGACTGGTTTAAACCCAAAGGTAAGAGGGTGAGATGTGCTGCTGAGTGTGAACACACGGGGCAGGCCCGCAGAGCTCCCTGGGTGAGCTGGTTACCTCGGCAGCACAGCCGGCGATGATCCACCGAGGCAGGCCCTGCACACAGCAGAGCCACGGGGGCGCACGATTAGAAATAAGAATAAACAGGCACAAAACAAACAAACTGAGATTTACCTGCCGATTTCTGCTTCTGTTCCACGGCCAGCACGCCTGCGGCTGGCATCCGGAGGGGACCGCTGCGCCGGGAGGGTGGAAGTCTTCCATGGCCTCAAGTGGGGCACGGTCTGCGACGATTATTTCAACATGAACGCCGCCAAGGTTGTGTGCAGACAACTCAACTGTGGTGAACCTGTGTCTGTCCGGGGCCATTCCTACTTTGGCCCCAGTAGGAAACGCATCCTGCTGGATGACGTGCGGTGCAGAGGGACGGAAGCTTACCTCTGGGACTGCAAGCACGCCGCCTGGGGCAGACACAACTGTAGGCCCAACGAGGAAGTTGGCGTCATCTGTTCAGGTAAATAAATGAGTTGTGCACTCCTAAAAACCCCTTTGGACTTTCCTGTTGACCATAAATGCACGAAACGTCAGAGCAGAGCTTGGGAATCAGAGCGAGGCTGAAATGTGTGTGTGGAGGCTCACTGTGGGATCGAGGAAAAGAAGGATGTCCCGGACAACGTACCAGGATTGGTAGCAGCAAGCACTGAGTATGAAAATGGTGAAAAGCAAGTACTTCAGGACCACTTTAGTCAACATCTGATTACAGCCCATTCCCAAGAAAAGGAAGGCAAACAGTTAAGAGAAAGAAGAGGCACATCCAGGTGTGAACCAGGCATGTCTGGCTGGAAATAAAAGCAACTCTAGCTGTAGATACAACCAAAATCAAAGATTGCATCATTAGGAGCAACCTAGTTTGAGGCACTATAAATAACTGCACAATAAAGTAAATTTTTGCTTTTTTTCGTGTTCACAGATGCGGTACACACCACGGTTGCACCCTCAGGTAAGGCAAGGCTTTTGAGACATGAGCCCACCAGCTCTTCACAGAGACTAATTTTTAACTCAAAAAAAATCATGTGATTGCACCTCCTTAGAAGACAGTTTTCTGGAAAGGCACGTTGTCTGAATTACCAGTTATTGCCTCAAATTACTATTTATTCACCTACTGCAGCATTATTTCTGTTCTTTACATTTCTAATACGGACTGTATTTGCCATTTATCTACTAATAACTAGGGAAAACACAAGGCAAGTCTTAACACTTCAGGTCTAAGTTTCTGACTCCTTTTTTTTTACCTGTTCCTGAAATAATCATTTCCTAAATGAAATCCTAAAGTACAGACTCTACTCATGTTTCCTGGGGGGTTTAATTGTTGATTTAATTATGCTCTTCATAACACACAGACACAGAAGAGCAGGTGCTAAAATGCAGTTTTCTATCATATAGAATAATAGAATCATAGTTATATGGTTTATTATATTATATGTAACACAGAAATGAAAAAATGGTTCCCAGAATATTCATCCTTAAGGCTTTAACCCACAAAAGCACACTGTAGTAATGCTGAGCTGTTGCTGCATATTTTTCCACAGCCATTTCTGCACTGATGGCACCACTGCCAAATATCTCTGAAGCTCATTTAGAACTGCCATTAATTGACAGAAATCTCAGTTTACCAAAGTGAAGGTCTGGTGCATTAACCCAGTGCTGCACAAAACCTGATATTTAAATTATTTCACCAGTGTCTCAGTTCTCATGACTGTTCTTTTATCCCTATAATAAGTTATTTCCTCTCATTTCCAGCACCATCAACAAAGGCCCAAACTTCCATTTCTACATCAACACCTGCCACAGAGAGCCCTGTTGTGACATCTACCACAGAACCCCCAACTTCTGCTGACAAAGGTAAGGTTAAAAAACAAACTGCATATGTCATGTGTGGAAATTTTGAGCAATATGTGCAATTTGTTTAGAGGAGGCAGGAGGAATGCATTGGGAATACAGTAAAAATATTGACTAGCACTGTGTGTAATTAGCCTTGGAAGAGCCAATGGCCAACATCATCTTTGCATCTTTCCAAATGAGTACAGCCCCTCTAGTAGGGAAGGAATGCAAACAGAAACAACACAAGTATCGACTACCTTTATTATTAAATATTAGCTGAAGGTGAAAGTCTTTTTTTTTTCATCAAAAATAAAAGGCTGTGCAATGACTCACTGTCCTGCAAAGCCCAAATCTACTTACCTTCATCAAAACTTCCATTCACATGTTCACTCCTAATTCCTGCCAATCTCTACTCTCTGTATTTCCTCAACTGCTCTCAGCTGTGTCTTCTGCATCCACTGCTGTCATAGAGGATATTGCCACATCCCCTCCTGAAATTCCAGCCACAACTTCTGAAGGTAAGGACAGCCATTTAACAAGTGCTATTTAGAACAAATATTCTGTTAATTTGGGGGGATTCAGCTGAATTAAGATGTAAATCTGTAAATATTCATATCAGAATAAATAAAACGTCTTTGTGAAGGAGCAACCCCCTTACAACACCTTCACTTGACAAATATTGGCTGTCAAGGCATAGCAAGGGTATATGCACTTATTTATACTTCTGAGCTTGTAGGTATAAATAATACACTTATACATTTACAAAGCAAAACTGTCCAGGTCATTGTAATTTTGTGCGTCCAAGATTCATAAAAACTCCAGAAATGTTAAGGAGCACAGCCAGGCATTTGCAGTCATTGTTCCTCAGCTGGGAGATGAGTTATTTAGCAGACTGATAACCATGGAATGGTTTGAGTTGGAAGGGGTTTTAAAGATCATTTAGTTTCGATCCCCAGCCATGGGTGGGAATGTCACCCACTAGATCAGTTTTTTATCAAGCCTGAGACCTAAAGCAACTCACAAGCTCTTCAAATCACTCGTTTGCTTTTAATTGCTGCTTACAACCATTTAATTTCTCATCCTTCCAGCCTCCCCTGCTAGTACATCTGCCTTCCTTCCTTCCCCCACCATCACAGAGGAAAGCCAGACATCAGTAATCCCCACTACCCAGCAGACAGGTAAAGGGCATTTCTGCAACCTGCAGCATGTTAGGAAAGTGTGGTTATAGGTTTTGTTTAGGAGGAGACACAAGTGGAGATGCCAAGAGTTGCAAAATCAGCATCTCTCAGTTCAGGTGATGTTTGTCCAAGAACTTTCTGGATTTCTGGCAGCATGAGCAGGCTTCCACCACCCTGGTGGGAGCTGTGAGTGCTGCATGTAGAGCCTGCCCCGAGGGAAGATGGATGTTGCACAGTTTGAACCATGGAATCTGAAGGAAATCTTTCTTTTTTATTTTTATTTCTTTATAAAACATGACTCAGGGGGAAAAAAGCCACTCAGTCTACGTTGCTCACTATTTGTAACATTACCTGTCTGGGTTCTAAACAATCCATAAGACTCCAGACTTGGGCTTTCTTATCAAATCCCCTCAAGCTGACAAAACATACCCTGTTTGCAGTGTTGGGACATTATATATCAGTCAGTGTTACTGCCAAGTTAAAACATTCACTTTTATTTATACTGTGCCATAAAATCTAATAGCAATAGTGCTTGAGTTTGTTCAAAATAGATTACATTGGTGGGATTAAAATAACTGTATAAAGATTAAAATCAGTCAACTGCTAATTAATTTTCTCAGAGAAGAAAAATTCAGCTTATAGTCAATATTAACAAAATACCACCTCACCTGAGTAAATATTTACTAGAAGTTTTGACTCAAATTACCAGATTTTAGAGGCTACAATCCAAGTCACTTTTCCTTCAAGGACATAATCAAAATCACATCAGCAATCATCAGCTCCAGTTTCTGTCACTGGTTGATGTTTTTCTCCAATAACGTATTTCCTCAATACTTTCACAGTCACTTCAGCATCCCCGAGTTCCTCCTTTGCACCCATTGCAGCAAATGAAGAGGCTGAGGCAGCATCTACACCAGGAGCCCAAAGCACAGCTGTTGAAGCCAAAGCCAGAGTGGCAAGAGCTGCCACTTGGAGCCCAGGTAAGCTAAGGAAAAGCCATACTCTGTGGGAAAAGTATGCAATGAAGTTTAATAAAGGGGGCTAAAAACATACTGCTTTATTCTCCAGTAGCTAAGAGGTTTCAAAATCCAGCTTTTACACATTTATTCATTGTGGTGTTGTGTGTCAATAGAGACTTCACACTTTTCTTTAGCAAAAGGGCAAACCCAGATACTTTAATCCAAATTTAATTCTGGTTCATATCTGTGATGATGGTCATTATTGCTCATTGTTCCTACTGTTTTTTTCTTCAAAACCTCAAGAGGTTATTTTGTCACAGGAATAAAGGCTTTGGTGGAAGCTGTCCGAGCTCAAGCCCGAGCTGCGGCAGCGACAACAACTCCAGCACCACCCACTACAGTGACTGAAGGTAAGGAACAGCCAGGTAGAACCTCTGTGCTTCAGGAGCAAAAATATCTCTGTCCTCACCACTGTGCAAGGCACATTTGGGGCTCAGAAAGTCCCTGACCTGCCAACGGGTGCCAAAGAGACAATCCTGGACATACCTTGTCGTGCTTGTCCCATTCTCATGCTCCTCCTCAGCACCTCTTAGTGGTGCCCACCGGGGGGAAAATCAGCTTGGGTTGGGAAAATCCAGAGATTGGGTCCAGCCCTTCCTCTGTGCTGATAGTGCTGCAAGGTCCCACCTTTCCCCATTCTCTTTGTGGGGGCAGCTCTTATTCTGGCACCTATTTCATAATACACTTTGCCAGTTTTTAATGAAAGAGCTGCTTTAACAAATTTGTGAAATAACTTCTTAGGCATTAAAAAAAATCTTAAAACCAGAATTTCAGCAGACAGGGCCATTTTGCATCAGCCATAAGCTGAGCTGGCACCTTCCTGTCACCCCACATGCCATCCTACCTCCTGTTCTAATGAAGCAGAAATTGATAGCATTAGTACCTTTAAACCCCTATGCAAACCTCCCCCAGAGAGATGACCCCGTATTTTGCCTCTGAACTTGACAGATACTTTTAAAACACACACCAAAAAAAATTGGACATTATATTCAATGTTCTTTTATTGATGGGCATTTTCTGCAGTGCCTACAGTTGCTCTTTTGGCTCTCTGGGAAGCAGAGAAACTGGTGGCCAAGCTCTTCAGAGCCCTCTTCAGAATAGTGACAGACCCTTTCCACATAAACTAAATTCAGCTCTTTAAAGTTTCCATTTTTTTCAAGCCTCTTTTATTCTTGAATCATTCATCCAAGCAGTCCCCATTATCTCTGTCTTTCTTAAACACACAATCCCTGGCAGAGCAGCTGAGGCCTGTTTAGTACCAGTGGCAATAAGCAGGTCCATGTGAGAGCAAGACTGAGCCTGCACTGGCTGACTGTAGTGTAACACCACTGACTTCCAGCTTTTCCATGGCCCTTCTGTGCCTCCTGAAAGGATGACTTTGCCACTGTGCATCAGTTTTCTCTTTCCAACGAGCTGCCTGTTCCACCTGTCTTTATTGACCTTCATCTTGCTGATTTTTGACATCTATTGGGTTTATGAAGATCATTTGGAATTCTCATCTTGTCCTCCAGAGAGTGCACAGATCTCACCTTTCCTTCTGCCATTCTCTCTGTGCCTTTCCAGTTTCAGTGGCATGGGCTGAGGAGATTATTACAGTCTGGGAGCTGTGGCCTCCTGGTTAGCACCCAAACCATCTGCTAGTCCAAGATGCTGCATAACATGATAAACAATTACCAAGGCAACTGATAGTTTCTCTCTTTAAAACCTTTTTTTTTTAACACTGCTTGTCTCCTACAGCCTTACCTCTGCTGTCAGAAGCTCAGAGTTGTGACTCAGTGCCAGAGAGTGTAAGACAGATTTACTTACTGCTCCACCAACCTTATTTAAAGCATCTTCATGTCCAAGATTTAGGATCCACTCATCCTAATTTCTGCAAATGTTGTCTCACAAATTAACAGGCAAATCTTCAGCTCAGCAAAGAAATATCAGTTGCTCTTTTTCTACCTTTTTTTCTGCCAGTCATTTCCCTTTCAAAAGGATAGAAACAAAAACTTCCCTGCTTAAAGAATATTTTACAAAACTTTGATCAGATTTTGCTGCTTGCCTTGAATCTACTCAGCTGAACGAAAAAATTTGCAATTCTTTGCATACACCAGTGAAACCGAGAAATTAATGTGGTTCCTCAAGATTTATTTGCTTGCCTTTCAAAAGTTAAAAGTGAATTTCTAAAAGGAGTGATCTCTGGACTGTTATTAAGGCTTAAGGAACCAAATGCATGGTGTAAATGTGGTTTCATAAGAATTACCATGGAACTCTGTGCTTGTAACCATTTTTTTGCCTCCATCTACTTAACCCAGTATTTGAGCAAACAATTTAATCTTATTTATGCATACGGTGTGTAACAGGGATGCTGTTTAGTGGTTAAAGGAATAAAAAGGTTCCTCTATAGCTCTAATTAATAACCTCGTTATTTTCACTTGTACATATTGCAGGTAAATTGTGGTAAAATCTCAGGAAAATTAATTGTTCACTGATTCCTTTGATTAAGTTCTACACTTAACTAAGCACAAAGAATTGATTTTGAAAAGATACAAATATATCAATTATTTTCCTTTATTAATTTGACAAAAGTAAAAAGTTGCAGTTCAGCTGTCTACAGACACCCCACAATAATACACTAAGATTCTTGAGACTGCAACCTAATCAGTCCTTTATTTTCTGAAAAAAGTGCCCATGAAAATTTCAGATTGATGATCATATTTCAGATTAATTAAATACTTCATTTACTTACGAACTTTTATAGGAAAGGTGCTTCCTTCCCATAAAGTCATTCTAAATATCAGCTGAATTCATTTCAAATTCATTTCTGCCTGTAATTCAAGTCAAGATCTGAATCTGAATAGAGAATTTTTAATCTACCTTTTTCCCCCTATTCCCACCTGGTTTTACATAGCTAATTTAGTCTTAAAGTAGTCTTAAACTTTCTGTTTAACACCTTTCACCATCTTTGGCAAATACCCAGTGCCTGGATCAACAGGTTAATTAGCATTTGTTTCAATTATCTGTTTTTCTCCCTGAACTTGTGTTTGGCATTCTTGTGGAAGTTTAGACCTAGATCTCAGGAAGTGAGCCAAGCACGCTGCTGCTGGCAGTTCTTCACAGCCAACCCTTGCAGAATTAAATGCTTAGCATGGTACTCAGATGGAAGGAGCTTTGATCATGGTCAGCAAAAAGGAGTTAAGGACAAAGAGTCCCAGGAAACATGGCCCTCATCCAGAATGGATGTGCATTAGCTGGTTACAAATGTCTGCCAGGTGACAGCAAAACATCCCAAAATGAAAACCTCGTAATTACTGACCCACCAAGGAGTAAGACAGGTGTGTATACTTGGTGCAGTTTATGATGGCCACAAACTAGGAGGAACTCAATTATGTTGTTGGCAGTGTCTCTGATTTCTTTCTCTGAAAGAAAAATACACTCCAGGCCCATAAAACTAATTTGGAACTTCAGGTTTCTGAAAGCCTTTCCCTCTGCAAGGGAGATAAATGTGTGGAGTATTCTGTAAGTACCCAGCTCTCAGAAATGAGCGTGGTCTGAAGAAATAGCTCTGCCACTGTTCTGGGGAAATGGTGCTGTGCCAGCCATCTGTTATGCCAGAGGGTCAGCAAGGATGGGGAAAGAGGCTGAACTAGGCATTATTTAAAGGATGGGAAAAAAAAAGCCTCAAACTATATCCCTTGGATTGCACAGTATCCCAGGAAAAGGTTGGGTATTTGTCCTTTAGGCAGCACTGTGGTGTGGATGATGGTAAAGAAAAGGTGGGAAAGCTTCCCTTTGATCCACATAGTGGGGAAGGGTGACTGGCTGCACCAGAGAGGAGCATTTTCCCCAGAGATCAGCACAGGGGGAGAGGACCCTGTCAGTGCCTGCTGGGTTTGAGAATTTATAATAACTGTCCTAGAGCAGCACTGAAATTCCAGGGAGGAACCAGGGTGTGGGCTGCCTGCTGCTGCCTCCTCTGGGGTGACCCTTGGCCTGAGAGCAGCTGTGCCACCACCTTGGGAACACACTGCTGAGACACAACACGGGCTCTTTCTCCACAGCACCTCCCCCTGCTCTGTCCCTGCGGCTGACAGGCGGTGACCAGTGCTCCGGCCGCGTGGAACTCTACTACAGCGGGAGCTGGGGAACGGTCTGTGATGATTCCTGGGATCTGCAGGATGCCCAGGTGGTGTGCAGGAGCCTGGGATGTGGAGAAGCCCTGATGGCTCTGTCTGAAGCCCAGTTTGGCCCGGGCTCCGGGAGCATCCTCCTTGATGATGTGCAGTGCAGAGGGGATGAAGAGAACCTCTTGGATTGCTCCCACGCAGGGATCGGTGTCCATAAATGCCAGCACAAAGAGGATGCCAGTGTCATCTGTGCAGGTACACTGGCACTTCTACGCTAGATATTAGGACAAGGTTCTTCCCCCAGAGGGTGGCTGGGCACTGAACGGGCTCCCCAGGGAACTGGGCACAGCACCAAGGCTGGCAGAGATCAAGAAGAGTTTGGACAATGGTCTCAGGCACGTGGTGGGATTGTTGTGGTGGCCTAGGCAGCACCAGGAGTTGTATTTCAATGATCCTTCTGAGTCCTTTCCCGCTCAGAATATTCTATGTTCTCTCATAAGCTTTTGCCTACTAAGCAATTTAAGCGTGCCTGCTGCTAAGATTTTTATGCACAACTTGTTTCCATCAGTGGACTCATTTCGGGCATGAAGCCAAGCCCAGTGAGAATTGCTGGGTTTTACCACATTTTTTCTTTTTGTTGACTCATGCAGCTTTGTGTTTTATTTTTTTATTTTAATTCTCAAATCCTTTGGCTACCTAGAATATAGTTGTCAATCTTATCTGATGCCATTTCCTACTCTGTTACCTGTCTGCTTTATGCATTGCTATCTGATTTATAATTTTACATCATCACTGGTATATCTAATCCTCCTACCCCTGATTTCCCATAAATTATAAACTATGACTAGTCAATCAAATTCCCTTTTTTTGTAGTTAGTTGGAATTATTTTTAGTAACTTCCTTTAGGATTTTTTCCAAATCCATTCCCAGTTTTCCAGCAGTTCTGTATTCTGGCTGGAAACACATGAGCAGTTGGAGAACTCGTGTCACCAGAGCCTCTGTGTGGTCAGAATCATGGCAAGTTGTGGTCCATGGACAAAGTTCATCCACGTGGCAGGCACCCTGTGAACCTGGGATGAGTGAGGTGTGACACAACTGGCTGCAACAGGTTGTGGATGAGAACTGGCCCCAAAAATGCTGCTTTATAACTTATCCTGGGGGAAAATGAAAGCAAATTTCTAGTAGGGTTAGGTTTACTAGTAAAGGCCTCAAGTGAAGTCAACAGACAACTCAAGCAGACGTGCCTCCCTGGTGAGTATATACCACACCTAAAAAAATTAAAGATTTCCCCTGCAAGGTGACTGCAACCATTACCACCTGACATTTGAAACAGGGTTTGCCACCTTATCCTTTTTGATGATGATGCTCCCAGAGAGGAATGGGTTGTTCTATGTCCCTGCTGCTTCCTTGTTTTTCACGTAGTAACTGAAAGTCTCTATCAAGCATCCTCTGTAGCAAAACTAGAAATTCACTTTCCTGTTTTTTTCCCTAGAGCCACCTGCTTCCACCCCGGCCCCGACACAGCCCACTCCAGCTGGTGAGTTCTCCCTGCACGGGTCTTGCAAAGCTCCCACAGTTGATATATTTTGTGAAGCACTGGTCAATGTGGTGTCCTCCCCGGAGCAGTGCTCTCACAGGGGGCTGGGCACACGCAAAAACATAATAACTGGTGTTATCACACGTGCACACAATATTTAATTTCACCTTTTCTTTCCAACAGCAACACTCTCTCCTAGTGCAGCACCAGCAGACACTACTCTTGGTAAGTCCTGCAGTGTTATTCTGTCTTATATGCCACATGTCTCATGGCAAAAATATACATTTAAAGTGCACAAAATATTTAATTTAATCTTTTCTTTCTCGCAGAAATAGTATCTACTACTGCTGTACCAGCAGAAGTTACCACTCGTAAGTAAAATAGCATTACTGTGGCTTACATGCTATGAGTCTCAGGGAAAAAATATACATTTAATATGCACATTAAATTTAATTTCACCTTTTCTTCCTCACAGCAACAGTACCTCCCACGGCTGCACCCACAGATGCTATTGCTTGTAAGTAATACAGTGTTACTCTGACTTACATGCTACAGGTCTCAGAGCAAAAGTAGTTCTTAAAATGCAGACAATATTTAATTTCACCTTTTCTTTCTGTATTAAGTAATAAAACATTACTCTGGCTTATATACTGTGGGACTTGGTGGAAAAAAAATCCATTTAAAATGCATGTAAAATTTAATTTCATTTTTTCTTTCTGACAGCAACAGCCTCTCCTACTGCTGCACCAGCAGACACTACCACTCGTGAGTAACTTATCATTACTATGCTTTACATGCTGTGGGTGTCAGGAGAAAAATACACATTTAACACACAAACAATATTTAATTTCATCCTTTCTTTCTCAGAGCAACAGTCTCTCCTACTGCTGCTCCAGCAGACATTAACACTTGTGAGTAACACAGTGTTACTCTGGCTTACATGTTTAGTTGTCTACCCATGCTCTGATCCTGTATGGACTGTCTCCCTGTGTACAATCTCATGGGTTTAGCCATTGGAATCAGTGATGATCCCAATTGTCTCTCCCTTGGCTTCCCTGCACAGCAAAGGAGGGAAAGGGAAAGCAGAAATACTGGCACTGATGGAAGCACCAGAGAAGGGGAAACCAATGGGGCAGACACACTGCACCACTATAAACTCAGATCTGCATTTGATCATCCCATTCCAAGAAAGCCAGCCTTCCAGCACTTCCCAGAGCTGCATCCCCATCGCTGCACAAACTGGGATGTGCTTCCCATGGGAACGGGCAGGTTCAGTGCCCACCGAGGTGGCAGCACAGACCACAGCACTCCTGTGGGCACGGGGTGTTAGAAATTCGTCTCATTAAACCCAAACTGTTGGTTAGCAAACATCCTGTCATGGTTTGAGAGCCCCAAAATCCAATTCTCAAGTCCAAACCCCCCACTCTCATCTCAACCCAATGTGAGATGAGTTTTCCAGACACCATACAAGACTCAAAATGGGGGGAAAGGGTTATATATTACAATGACTGTATAAAATAAATATTACAGTACATTACACACACAATCTTAACTATCTCTACCATGACAAAGCAGTATTTACAATGGATCAAATCTCTTCTCTCTCCAAATAAAAGTCCAGGAGGGAAGAAGGGTTTCCAGGGCCTTTCACATGGTGGGTCAGAGCCTGCAGAGGCCATGGCAGAGGCAGCCTGCACAGGGGTGTGTTCTCCTCCCACTGAGGCTGCTCTTGCTCCGGGCAGTTTGCTAATGCCTGCCCTGGGCAGCAGCACCATCTTCCAGCCACTCCAGTGAGACCTCCAGCAATCCTGTGGTTCAGGTATCTCTCACTTTTCCAGTGCTGGAAAAAGAGTTTCTAACCTGCTGTTTCGTTTTCTCTCATGTCTCCAATCAACCCCTGCAGAAAACACAACACCTGAAGCTGCAGGTATGTGTGGCTCTGATTTATTGGTCAGAATTGCAGGATCAAGCATGATCCTGGGAGTAAACTGCTGCCCTTCCCATTGACAGTCCTTGCTTTGCAAGGAACAGTTACCCAAGTGTGATTTTTGTTTTCTCTTTGACAGTCACGACCGAGTCCACAACAGCTGAAAAACCAGGTATTTATTTCTTCAACTGTGGTGAGCAGTTTGCTATTTTTCACATGAGTCATCGGTGTATTTAGAACATGGACAATGTTTAACTTCATATTTTCTCTTCTCACAGTGACAATCTCAGCTGCTCAACCTTCTCAACCCTTCCCAAGCAACGGACCCCCTCAACCTCCCCAACCCATCCCAAGCAGTGAACCCCCTCAACCTCCCCGACCCTTCCCAAGCAATGGACCCCCACAACCTCCCCAACCCTTCCCAGGCCACAGACCCTCTCATCCTCACAAACCCTTCCCAGGCCACGGACCCCATCGACCTCCCCGACCCTTCCCAGGCCAAAAACCCTCTCATCCTCCCCGACCCTTCCCAGGCCACAGACCCCATCGACCTCCCCGATCCATCCCAGGCAACGAAACCTCTCAACCTCCCCAACCCTTCCCAGGCAACGGAACCTCTCAACCTCCTCAACCCTTCCCAAGCAACAGACCCCCTCAACCTCCCCAACCCTTCCCAGGTCACAGACCCTCTCATCCTCCCAAACCCTTCCCAGGCCACAGACCCCATCGACCTCCCCCATCCTTCCCTGGTGACGGATCCCCTCAACCTCCCCAACCCTTCCCAGGCAACGGAACCTCTCAACCTCCCCAACCCTTCCCAAGCAATGGAACCTCTCAACCTCCCCAACCCTTCCCAAGCAACAGACCCCCTCAACCTCCTCAACCCTTCCCAGACAACAGACCCCCTCATCCTCCTCGACCCTTCCCAGGCCACAGACCCCATCGACCTCCCCGATCCATCCCAGGCAACGAAACCTCTCAACCTCCTCAACCCTTCCCAAGCAATGGAACCTCTCAACCTCCTCAACCCTTCCCAAGCAATGAACCCCCTCAACCTCCTCGACCCTTCCCAGGCCACAGACCCCATCGACCTCCCAAACCCTTCCCAGGCCACAGACCCCATCGACCTCCCCAACCCTTCCCAGGCAACGGAACCTCTCAACCTCCCCGACCATTCCCAGACAACAGACCCCCTCATCCTCCCCGACCTTTCCCAGGTCACAGACCCCATCGACCTCCCAAACCCTTCCCAGGTAACGGAACCTCTCAACCTCCCCAACCCTTCCCAGGCAACGGAACTTCTCATCCTCCCCAACCCTTCCCAAGCAACAGACCCCCTCAACCTCCTCGACCCTTCCCAGGCCACAGACCCCATCGACCTCCCCGATCCATCCCTGGCAATGAAACCTCTCAACCTCCCCAACCCTTCCCAAGCAACGAACCCCCTCAACCTCCTCAACCCTTCCCAAGCAATGAACCCCCTCAACCTCCCCGACCATTCCCAGACAACAGACCCCCTCATCCTCCACGACCTTTCCCAGGTCACAGACCCCATCGACCTCCCAAACCCTTCCCAGGCAACGGAACCTCTCAACCTCCTCAACCCTTCCCAGGCAACGGAACCTCTCATCCTCCCCAACCCTTCCCAAGCAACAGACCCCCTCAACCTCCTCGACCCTTCCCAGGCCACAGACCCCATCGACCTCCCCGATCCATCCCAGGCAACGAAACCTCTCAACCTCCTCAACCCTTCCCAGGCAACGAAACCTCTCAACCTCCCCAACCCTTTCCAAGCAACGGACCCCCTCAACCTCCCCGACCCTTCCCAGGTAACGGAACCTCTCATCCTCCTCGACCCTTCCCAGGCCACAGACCCCATCGACCTCCCAAACCCTTCCCAGGCCACAGACCCCCTCATCCTCCTCGACCCTTCCCAGGTCACAGACCCCATCGACCTCCCCGACCCTTCCCAGGCAACGGAACCTCTCAACCTCCTCAACCCTTCCCAGGCAACGGAACCTCTCAACCTCCCCAACCCTTCCCAGACAACAGACCCCCTCCTCCTCCTCCCCAACCCTTCCCAGGCAATGGAGTCCCTCCTCCTCCTCCCCAAGCTATAGGACAAGAGGCAAAAGAAGCACAAGTGACAGCGTAGAGGTTGTTATTGTCCCCCAGTAAGAACAGCCCCAAAAATGCTCCTTCTGCCCAGAAAACGTTGATCAACTTCTCTATGTGATCACTGCATTGCAGGATCTGCTACTGATTTCTAATATCACAATACACTAGGTGTAAATCTAAAGGTATTTAATCTTAACTGTCATTTAGTTCCTTAATTTCACATCTTTTGGGCCCATATTGCAGATTTGTAAAAGCCTAAGCTTCAATAAATTCTCTCAAAGAATAATTGGATCAGCTGCTGTTTTTTTCTCATCAAGACTCTGTTTCCCCCTCAAAGTTTTCTTCCAGTTCTCCCCATTGTACCAAATAATTCAAATATTGAGCATTTAAGGAAGATTAACCTGCCTTACAGGTGCACACATCACAGTTCTGCTTTCTGAGCTCACAAAGAGAGATAAACCAAAGGATAATTATCCTTTGTAACCAGGAATGCTGAGCACTTCCCTTAAATAGGAACTTTAAAATTTTGGAAAAAATATTGTACATATACTGAGGTATAATCTCTGCAATACATATAAACTATTATAATCTTTCCATAGGTCAGGTTTTATTAGGGAAGATTAGAACTATAAAAAAATGGTACGTTGAAATCAACTTCATTATAAGCATTTGCTTCAGTCTTTTTCGTTCAATGTATCTTCAGGTTATATCACTTTGAGCCAAGAAAGTGTTTCTGCCCTTTAATGTTAAATTGTCCTACTTGGAGGGACTCAGTGGGGAAAGAAGTGGAAATTAATAATTTTCAGTTCATAATAGAGGAAAATACCTTGTTGATTGCAAAATTGTGCAGCACAGCAGTCATCTCAGAGATAGAGATGGATTAAATGTTGACAATCTGGTGGATTTGGCCTGACTGTGAGAAACCTATTTAAGGCCAATATTCAGTTTCCATATGACAAATATCATGAGCTGCCCTGTACTGAATAAGGCTGCCTGGAGTCCAGAGGCTGTGCCATACAAGAGAAAAAAAAAGTCCACTTCTTCAGCAACTTTTCCTTTTATGCTTCATCCCTTCAAAAAAGGGAGTAGAGCCACTCTGAAACTGGGCTTCTCCATGAACAACTTGGCCAGCTCTCAAAAGCCCAAATCCCACAGGTCTCCTATGAAGGCACAAGGTCTAATCTCTTACCTGGTGCTTGAGCCTTGGCATGGGCTGAGCAGGTTCACTGCCAAAGTCCTCATCCTGCAGGATGCTCATCCTGAGCCAGAGTGTTTCCTAATCACATTTAGTTCATACAAAACTCCATCACACTCGTAGCCCTGCTGCTCTTCTTACCAAAGATGATGATTTAAAGTGCCTGAAATCACATTTTCCCTGCTGTTGCATTCCTGGGTGCAGGCAGTGAGAAAAAGTGCCTGTAAATACTTGTCACAACAGCGAATCCTTGTTCCTTTGAAGTAAAATGCACACTACTTTCTTCTGGGGAGCTGCTATTGTAAACCACCTTCCCTACATGTACTTTATCTTAAGTCAACTCTATCTGAGTGAAAAAGAGTATGTGTCTACCTCAGGGTGTTTCTAAGCAAGCATGTAAAAACAAATTTTACAGGTATAAAGTACAAGATAATTAAGATCCTTTTTTCTCAAAAAAAAAAATAATCTTTTTATCTTTTCAAATCACTTTGAAACTGCACCTGGCAGGAGTTTAGCTGAGGGATAACTGCAAGATGTCTGTTCAAAGCAAATTGTACTCCCTTCCCAATCTGCTCCTCTGAGTTACAACCATCAAGATGGGCAAGTCTTCTTAAAAGACATCAGTTTTCCTGGAGAAGAAAGTATTAGGCAGACTAAATAAAGGTACTGGATTGTACATGTCTGTGCTGCTTGTTGAGTCAATACTCGCTTCCCCATTGATATTTTTTCCCAAAATGTCTTTGTACCCAACTTGGGGTTTTACCATAAAGCCCCTACACAGTCCAAGTTAAACCCTGTACCCCAGAAGCAAAGAGCAAGAAACAGAATGAAGTGTGAAGGGTGACCTTCCAAAAAGAGCAAACTGATTCTGTGCAGGTAAAAAGATATGCAGTAACTCCGTTTATTTAGAGTTCAAACTGAAACTGGGGAACTGTTCATATGGCTTTCAGCATGTGTCCTTGAAATAAATAAGCCACAAAGGGCATACAAAACTCTTATATTTAGGAAAAAAACCCACACATTCTTAAGATCTTTCATAAAACTAACAACTGTGTACAACAGTGGGTAGAATTACAGTAACAAAATGCAAGTTAACAACACTGAGGTTCCTTACAGCTGTCAATCCATAAATACTAAGCTTTGTAAAGTGTAATTGCCCTTAAAATATTTACACTGAAATCCTCCATCTCTGTTCATCTCTCTCCATTGGAAAACCCTTCATTAGAATCATAGTGTGCTTGTGAAATTTTGTTTGGCTTTGAGTTCTGAACCAAGTCCATCAAGAGAACCATTTTATTGTCTATGTGTGCCTGAAGACCCTGGATTTGCTGATCAATGTAGTCCATTAGCTTTTTCTCCATCAGATCCATATTTTTGGAGATGATCTTTTCCAAATAGGAGCAAATAGGCTGTTGTTCCACTCTGTAAAAAGAGCAAATATAAGAGTAAGTATAACCTATTTCTTAATGACAGGGAGCATATTAGAGATCTGGGCACTTGAACTTGTTTTAAATGTAAAATCTCATTTATTAGGCAATGAACTGTGGAAGGCATTAGGCTTTTAGCACAAGTAAAATACCCTGCCTACCATGTTTTAATTTGCAATTTTTTAATAAACATTTACGGTATATAGTCATTTTTCTTCAACCTTTTCTTTCAAAGGCTCAATAATGCAATAGAGAGCTTAGTGAGATAAAACAAAATCCACACAACTCAACAGTACACACAGAGTTCAAATTCTGTCAGCATGGCAGACTTTGTCCTTCTCAGCAGAAATGCTTCAAGAATTATCCAAACTATGCAGAATGCGTTCTTCAAAAGCACTGCATTCTTTCAGGAGCTGGAGACATTCAGGCTCTATTGCAATCCCAGCTCCTACACAACATTCCTACATCTCACAGTTTCCACTATTGTTCCTTAGGTATCAAAGTGGGTGCACTCTGAAGTCTGCTCTGTAAATGCCAACAGATGAGTAGGAACAGGTACACACTAAGTACAGCAAAAAGGTTGGGTCACGTTGTGTGAAAAAAGGAAGACATAAGAATTTGGGAGGTAGAAGGAGTCAAAATGAAAATGTAGCAAAAGACGAGAAAGATAAACTACACGTGTATGGGAATGCAGGAACATATTTTTTAAAAATTATAAGAGGGGAAATGGAGGTAAAAGACAAACAGTTTAGTAACAACAAATGACGTGATTTCTTCCGAAAAAACTCCCACATTCAAACAGCCCATCAGAAAAATTAATTGTAATCACGCTCATTGCCACACAGCCTTCAAAAACACATATCTAAGATTCACTATTGCTGTTAATGAGAATAAAATGTTGACATTACTCATTTTGTTTAAACTTGTCAATGAACACAGTAAAGCTACTACTTTCAGAAGTATCACAAACTTAACTCACCCAACACACTGAATGCCTTCCTCTTTAGCCACTGAGCTTTTCCTGAGCTGCCTCTCTCCATCTTTTAGCCGGAGGTGACTCACCTGACTGCATAAGTTTTGAAGGAAAGGAAGAAGCACCTGTGGGTTGGCTACATTTGGGGTTTCACTCCCTTGTTCCTGCACATGCAAAGATCCCATGACTTTCAAATCATTTCTGAGGTCAACTGCATTTTGCTGGGCAGCAAGTCTTTCAGAGTCAAAAGTACTCCCTCTCTCAGGTACCTCTGTGTTCAGATCACGACTTATTTTTAAGTCTTTATACACTGTTTCACTTGTTAAATGATTTTTAACAGGCAAAGGTTCACTGGCTGAGTGACTTGGTGATGACTGAACAGCTGCACTGCGCAATCCATCTATTGCATGGTCACCTCCAAAGCTGGAATTTTTCCCCAAGATCCAACTAAGTTTGTCTCCAAGAGGTAAACTGTTCTGATGGGAAGAAAAATAATACAATTAATAAAAGTAGTAAAATATACTGGAAATTATACAGTAATAACAATAGATATAACTCAGCATTCTACTAGTGTGATGTAAAGATTTCAAAAGCAGTTCTGAATTATATTCTCATGGAAAAGCACAGGGAAGATGTTTTCCCTGCACACATGATGTGTTAATCATCTTGTCATTCTCTAAGAAAAGAGCTTTACTGGCTTTTTACCACACTATGTCCCCAGGATTGAATATTTTTAACATCAGATGGATTCAGGATTCTGTTGGAACAGTTCACTCCAGAGGATCAGGATCTAAGTCAAGTAAATGCTCTGTAAGAGCACGTTCCCTTTAGTTGAAGGTGATAATGACTCATAATGACCACAAAGGTCAAAACCAGCCCATCTACCTACATCCCAAACATTCCAGGGAACGTGCCCACCATCCTTGACAAGCAGTGACATTGAAGTTTAAAATAATAATGAAGAGTTATTAACTCTGGTGTATGCACAATGGAGTACACAATCTTTACTCACTGCACTCACGTGAGTGGTAGATTAAAATGGCAGAAAGTGTGGGTTAAAAAAAAAAAACATAAAATCTTTTTCACTAAATCAATCTAGAATATTCTTTAACTGGAAAGGTCTGAGATCAGAACTGTTCATGGTTACAGAAAAGCACAGTGACCTACCTTCTGCTGACATCGGACCATGTCCATGAGCTGCTGAGCACCTGGAGACAACTTAGATCCCATAGATTCCATTATAGTTTGCACTCTGTCTAGATCTATGCTTGAGCCTAGTGAAGGAAAATCAGTTGCTAGTTTTGCAGACACTGCTTTCACTTCTATAATTATTTTACTGATGAGTACTCTTTGTTTCTCACCAAAGGAGAGCAGCTATTGCAAGAAGAAAAAAAAATATTTCGGTTAGGAAGAAAATAGTTTCAGTTTCTTTGTGCACAGGGGACAATGCATTGTCCTTTGAGTCTTGAGGGAAAACTATGCTGAACTCTTTCCCAGGGAAATTCAGCCAATTTCTCCTTGCTATTATTCCCCAGAAAATTCTGACTGGAAAAGAGGTGCCTGAGTGCCCCAAAGATAAATCAGGCTCTGATCTTCTAAGCATGTAAGAGTAGCAGCCAAATGATTTTCAAAAGTTTATTTAACCACATCAGAGTTAAAAGTTCTAATTACAGACCTGCAGTTTATCTGGTTTATGAATTTTTTCCTCTAAGACTAAATTATCTGTATCATATAAAGTCTTCATGAAAACTGAAATACAAATTTAAAAGAACTCTGCTATCAAGACAAAGTACCCAACTAACAAATTTTTAGGTTATTATATGAAGTGACGAAGGGTATAAAGCCAACAACCTGACCAAGAGCAAAGCAATTCAGTCAATTCAGTGATTAAAAACACCGAGAAAAATACAACAACTGTGTTTAATTCCTTACCTTAATTCTACAGGAGGGTGCAGGGCATTCAAACTTATGGTACTTGTGGTATAAAGTAACCTCTTCAGGTTCACTACAAAAATAAAATAAATGAGCTGTGACATCAATACACAAAGTACTGCTGTTATTTGTAGAAATACACTATATTGGTAAATATTTAGGTAAGAAACAAGACTGACCCAACATATTTCTAATGCCATTTTAATGTTTCTAATAGTAGTTTTAGTTTCTAGTTTCAAGCAGTTTTTTTAGTTTCTAATGGAGGTTTTAATGCTTACATGCAACTTCTAATGAATCTTATAAAACACGTACATAAAAAAATCACCTGTATGTGTACATACACTATGTCCTAGAGAAGCTTTTGAGGCTCACTATGTTATTCACACACCTTCCCTGAGGCTCTGAGTCCTCTGGTTTCTATTTAGCTAATTAAGATGTGCCATGTAATGACTTACAAACAAAGCAGAAACGTTGCTTTATTTCCCCCAGCAAAGTATGGACGGAAGTATCGAAGGGGAAAACAAAACCTTCCTTTTTTTTAATTTTCTCTGTTTTCCTTTAAAGTGTGAGATGACTACTTATTAAAGACACAAGAGGTCTTTCCCGAAATCACACAATGGTTTAGGTTGGAAAGGACCTTGAAGACCATCTAGTTCCAACTCCCCTGCCATGGGCAGGGACACCTTCCACTAGCCCAGGCTGTTTAAAGCCCAATCCGACCTGGCCTTGGACACTTCCAGGGATGGGGCAGCCACGGCTTCTCTGGGCAACCTGTGCCAGGGCCTCACCACCCTCACAGCGAAGGATATCTTTCTCATGAAATTAGACATGAACATGTCTAATCTAAACCTGTTCTGGCAGTAGGAAGCCATTCCCCCTTGTCCTGTCACTCCATGCTTTTATAGTCTCTCTTCATCTCCCTTAAAGGCTCCTTTCAGGCATTGGAAGGCACAATTAGGTCACCCCGAAGCCTTCTCTTTTCCAGGCTGAACAACCCCAATTCCCTCATATTTTTTTTTTTTTTAAAGACATCAGGTCTTTCACAGCAGGAGCCCCTCACAGAGATACACACGCACAAAACACGAGGCTGCCTGGAGGCCGTGAGTGCCCCCGGCCCCTCCGCGCCCCGCACTCACCCCGTGTCGCGGCGGTGGCGCGGCTCTTGCCTCCGCCGGTTCCGAGTACTCCCTCCCACGTACACCTCCATGTGCGGGCCGGGTACAAGTATCCCCCACGCGACGCCAGCGCCGGCGCCGAGGCCGGCACTCCAGCCTGCAGCTCGCAGGCTCCTCCCGCGCTCCCTCGCGCTCCACCACCCACGGCTCGCCGCTGCGGGGAAATCACACGGACGCGGTTGTCCGCCCAGCCCGCCGCCGCCGGCCCCCGCACGGCGCCCTGCAGCCGCCCGCCGCCCTCAGCCGGGCTCGCCGTCGCGGGGCACCGCCGCAGGCACATGCGCCGGGACAGGCCGCCCAGGCGGCGCGCTAGGCCACAGCACGCGTCGCCGACCACGCAAGCGCGGCCGGGGCTGGCCTCGCCCCGACTCCTCCGCTCCTCCGGGCGCCGCGTTCCGTCGACAGTCGGGCGCACCGGCGGCGGGAGCGGCGGAAGGGAGCGCGCACCGACCGCCCCTCGCGCGGTCCGCCGGATCGCGCCTAGCGCGCGCAGCCGCGGGCTCGCGCGGCGCACTGGAGGCGGCGGTACCCGGAGCGGCACCGGACTGTCCGCGGGTCACGGAATGCCGGGATGGCGCGCTGGGAAAAGACCTCTGAGGTCACCGAGTCCAACATGTGCCCCTACACCACCGTGTCAGCCAGACCGTGGCACTGAGCGCCACGTCCAGTCTTTCCTTCAACGCCTCCAGGGACGGCGATTCCACCGCTTCCCCGGGCAGCCCCTTCCAATGCCTGATCGTTCCTCCTCATGCCCGACCTAAACCTCCCCTGGCGCAGTTAAGACAGTGTCCTCTCCTCCTGTCGCTGGTTGCCTGGGAGAAGAGGCCGACCCTGAAGTTGTGTCACGGGAGGTTTCATCTGGATATCAGGAAAGGGTTCCTGCCCCCGAGGCTGGTTGGGCACTGCCCAGGCTCCCCGGGGCAGTGGGCACAGCACCAAGGCTGCCAGAGCTCCAGGAGGGTTTGGACAACGCTCTCAGGGACAGGGTGGGATTGTTGGGGTGTCTGTGCAGGGCCAGGAATTGGACTCGATGATCCTTGTGGGTCCCTCCCAACTCAGGATATTCCGTGACTCTGTGACAGCCACCTGGCTACAAACTCCTTTTGGTCCCTCTGCCCAGGGTCTGCAGATGGGGTACCATGGTCTGGTTGACAGGGTGGTGTTGGGTCATAGGTTGGACTCGATGATCCCAGAGATCTTTTCAAACCAAATTGATTCTGTGATTCTGTGAAATTTGGTAATATGGCAAAGTTCAGAGCTACTGGATTCTCTCTCCCAAGTTGGCACTGATGGCACACCACACAGGAGAGAGGCTATGAATAAAAGAGGCTATAAATAAAAGATGGGGTTCATTTAATTTTCATTAGGATCCCGGCTTCCGGAGTCAGGGAAAGCTGCTCCTGAAGCTGTGGCACGGACACAGACCCAAGGAACACGGGTATCAAGTTCTGCTTCCACCCAGGGCTCAGCACAGGAATGTTCACTGGGTGTGTGACTGTCAGGAGATGGACCTGAGCAGGCTTTGCACAAGCTATAATTAAAAATACAGCCAGCATCTTTATGTTTTGTCACCCAAGCCATTGTTTTATGGGATTTACCAGCAATGGAAAAATGGATTTGCTCTGTTTTAATTAAAGAATTAATTAAAATTAATAAATGCAAATGTTTTAGCGGGAAAAACTGTGTTGTCTCGGTCTCCTTTTTGTGTTTCTAAATGTACTTGGTAGTTCCAAAATGCGTTGCAAATCTGTCGGGTTTTAGGAGCATTTATTTTCTGCTTTTGGTGACAATGTGGTTGCATGGAAGATTATTCTGATCCTGGGAGAGCAATGATCTGCACAAAATTATAGTCTTTTAGAGAGGAGAATTGCATTTAACATAGGAGGGACTGGGTAAAATCCCTGTTTTGAGGGTTTCCACGTGTTTCTGGGTTTTCCATGTGTTTATAGAGTTTCCACATGTTGATATGCATTGTATATTCAATATTTTTAAAGCAAAGATGAAGAAATGGAAAACAGCAAGCTAAAGTTTCAAAGAGTAGATTGTTTCACACTGGAGTATTTTTGCTGAGCTGGAATAGCTACAATAAACATCCTACACACTGTATTTCTTACGAGCAATATTTTATGTTTCTAATCTCATAAGGTCTCACGGTGGTATGAAAGCCCTTTAGAATAAACCAGTTTGCTCCCGGCATGGCTCGGTGCTCTTTCTCCAATCAGCATTTAAGAATGTGCTGCTTTTTATTTGCATTAAGCTGTCTGACCAGTTTTCTCGCAAGCCCGGTGGATTAAATTTTACTTCCCGTTCCCTTAGCAGAGATGCAGTATCAGGGTGCTTTTTCTGCTGTTTACCTTCGGAGCAGACGGTTCTTGTTCTTCTGGTTCCGTGCAGAGCAGCACACTCTGTCTGCTGGGACACTGGAGTGGTTTCTCTGGGAAGTCTAGTCATGTTAAAGCACTGCCTATTTTGGTTCACTTTTGGACTAACTTTTACTGGAAAACCTTTTTGGATAAAAGGTAAGCCTTCTTTCTTTTTTAAATATTCACCAAGTTTCTTCTTGTACTCCCCGATCCTGATCATAACGATGCTCCCCTTTCACATCAAGTCACGGCACCTGCTCATTGAGAAAATCTTGTTTGAGGAAAAAAGTGTCTGGAAAAGATTACAGGTTGAATTTACAGGTTTATTTACAGGTTCATTGCTGAGCTCTTTGTGGGTTTTTCCCTCCAGGATGTAGTAGGTGTGTAAATATATCCTCTTCCGTGCAGGACACAGGTTGTGACAACTGAAGTTAATGTCACTATCATCAGTAGTAAAGACTGTAGAAAAAGATTTCTTCTTCAGTAATGTGAGGGGAATTCCTGCAGTTTCATTACAGTTGCCCATTATCTTATTGGCATTCATGATTTGGCTTCGCTCTTTAGATTTAGATGTAACACCTGAAATACTTCTTAGAAAGTGGTATTTTTGTGATGTCCATTAAAGATGGTTTCCTGCTTTCAGGTGTCAAAATTTAAATTGTTAAAAGAGCATCTTCATTGTTAGTTCAACACACTCGTGAAAGAGAATGGATTTTGTGATTTAGATAATAAAATTATTGAAGATTAAGAGCAAAGTCAGAAGTAAATACTGAGTGCTGATACCCTTTTCAGACCTGTTTTCTAACAGCAAGTTCAACATTTTGATTGCAATGGCAGCCTGTAATGTTAAACATATGCTACCTGCACCTAGCTTTTAAAAATCCTGATGTTATCTAACAGGTAGAGATCATGATTACACTGCAGAACCCTCCTCCTCACTTTGAATGAGTGGTTGTGTGGCTTCTTTGCAATTATGAATTCCTTTCACAGAAATGTGGAAGGATGAGAGTGACTTTGTATTACTACAAGTGTGAAGAAATCTCTCTGTTTCCTTATGAAAGAACAATTTAAGAAGGAAGAAACCCCTTTCATTGTTGATTCTGTTACCTGTTTAAAAGCAATGGTTGTGTCTCTGTTGATCAAACCAGACTGATGTGCAGACAAGAAAAAGGAAGATGAATTCAAGTTCACACAGTTTTAAAGAAAGTTAGAGGAGATTGGTTTTGTCTTTAACCATTTACCTGAAACCAGATACTTGGCAGGCTTCTTATCTTCAGCTTCCTGCATTAGCATGTTGTTCTGGAGATAATTCTGATATCATGTAGAAGGCTACAAACCTTTTGCAAAGGTTTGGCTGCTGCTAGAACAAACAAAATGCAGCGTTAGGCAATGGAAGGAGCCAGGATTATACACACAGGAGGTGGAAGAATTATACCCAGAGGACAACTGTAAGTATTCCTCATTCAGGGCAACAGGAAAAGGATGGTTTGGTGTTGAACATATGAAGGGAAAAGAAAAATTTGAGCTATTATCACAGTTTTAATGCGAGTAACTAAAACCAAGAGTCAAAGCCAAGACTACCAGCCAGTTTTGGACACCCTGTTTAAGAAAACTTTGGCTTGAATTTGCAGGTTTTAGCACTTTACAGCAGTTGTGTTTGGGGTGGTGTAGTCATTACCCTCGAATACAGTCAAAACAGAATTTCTGCAGAAAATGAGGCAATATATTTGCCAAAATTAAAAATAACTTGGCCATGATGGAAATGGTTGATTTCTTCAACTTCCCAGCATGATCCAAGAGCTCTGAAAGGGACAGAACAGACCAAACTGAGCACAGGCAGTCAGGTCCTAGACTGGTGAAGTCACTCTTTCTCCATTTCTGGCTGGATTAGAATGGTCTTTTGGCAACCCCCACTGTGCAGGTGCCAACATGATTATCCTTTCTGATTAATTACCAATTCCAAACTTTATTTTCAGGTGTATCTTCTGAACAGACACCCAGACTTTCCACATTAGAAATAATCATTCCTCGAAGTCTGACAGGCAGAGAGAAACATCACCCATTTTTTCATGAGGTTTGTGATTCTATCTGATTTTTTTCTTCTGATGTTGCTGTTTTTCCCAACACTGTCCTATCTTACACACACACTATGTATAGTGTGTAGTGAAGAAATGTGCCCCAGACTATTTCTTCAGATTCTTAGTGTTTTCAACTAGTTTTGAGCAAATTTGTTCCCACAAATTCCTGTGATTGCACTCTAAGTTAGTGCCATCCAAACTTCTAGTTTTGTTAACAGCCTTGTAAGACAGAAGTGAGAAGGAACATGAAGAATATTTCCATTTTCTCTGAGTCAGATTAGATGTTGAGCTTGCACTAATGTTCATGCTTTCCATGTTCTGGTTTTGGATTAACCAAAGGACTTCAACCATGCAGTCAACGCTTTTACCCTGAAAGGTAAAAATGCTCCCACAGAGTCACACAGTTTAAAGGAATGAGTTAAAAGAGAAAGATCTGAGCCTTAATTCTTCAGTTCTGAGGTAACTTACCTTTGTGCTAGATATTGAGTTCATTTACTGAAGTAAATGTTAATGAAATACCATTAGTCATCTTTGTGCAAACCAATTAAGGAATAAAAGATTCTGTGAGTGGCTTATCTGATTTACATAAGGAGGGTCACAAAACATGATGTGGTGCTCAGCAAAGAGTGGGCTGTGCCCTCCTGTCCTCTGAGTGAAAATGTACAGATTAATAGAACTTAAACTTTACATAGGAAAGAATGTACAGTGTGCTGCTGAGACTGTAAAACACAGAAGGCTGAGGGTTTGGAATCTGTGTTTTGGCAAATATTTCACACACAGAAGTGGGACAAAACATGGATCTGAAAAAAACAAGAAGAAAATTCACCTAATTAAGTGATATCTTTTGTTCTGTTTTCAGGAGCATTCAGATGACAACCTTTCTTACTCAGTGAAAACCAGAAATGGAACATATCTCCTAAAACTGAAGAAAAATAAGTATGTGATAGTGTTCTAAAGGAATCGTACCATCCTGGGGTTAGTTGCATCCACACAAGCATTTTTATACTGAAAAAATTCAGAAGAAACCATTTAAATGGCAGATTGTAGTAATTAGAAAATTATTTTGTTAAATAGAGTGTCGCTGTTATGGTACTATCTTGCAAATAGAAGGGAATAATAACTTTTATATTTGTGGAGAAATTTATTTTGATTATTTTTTTCAAATAATAGCAATTTAGCAACACAAGACTGTACATTTCAGAAAATCCTTAGGGAAAATCAGAGTTCTGTTCAACATTAGCTTTTTATTAGCTGGGGGGAGGGTTCTTAGCTGTGCTGTATTTGAAGAAATTTTTGTTTCTGTCGTTCCTCATTCCTGAGCCTGGAGCAGTCCAGGCCCTTATGCAAATGAATCTGCTTAGATTCTTCTCTGTGGATTTTTTTTTTAGTTAAAATATTTGAAAATAACTTATTTTCCAAAGACTTTGGCTCATTTTATGGTATTTTGTTTCATGTGCCTCGATTTTAGTAATAATTTAGCATGAGTGTGATGCTAACAGAATGTAATATTTGCCAGGATTTTCTACTTATTTCTTGCTTTCTGGACCTTTTAAAGAGCAGTAGTTTATTTTTGTTTCCAGAAAGCTTGTTAGTGAAGACTTTATGCTGTTTACATATGGGGAAAATGGGAAACTGGAGGCAACACAATCCAAAAACGAGGTATTGTGCATAATTAAATTCCCCCCTTTGTGTCAGAATTTCCTCAAACCAGGGAAACCAAGAAAAAAATATATTTTCTGGGGATGCAGCTTTTGTGAGTTTTCACAGATGTAGCATTCCTGTTTAACAGTTACCAGTAATAATAAACAAAAGGTTCATGAGGGATTGGGCTGTTTGTGGTGGTGTAGCATCCCTGTTTCCCAAGGTGTGAAAGAAAATGCCAGGGGATTATGCCAAGGCTGAATTTGAGCTGCCTGATTAGGTCACTTTTGCATAATATGCAATTAAAGGTACAGTGGCAGCATCAAAGCTCTATTAATTTTAGGTCCTGTATCAAACAAGCCTTATAAATACTTCTAAATTTAATTTCAACTTTAAACTGCACGTGAGCTCAGTGAGACTTAATTGGGTGGTTTGTGCATGGGACATCATCTCAGATCAGCCTTTGAGAGGACTCTGAGAACAGGATGAGCAATGTAGATTAAAAGATTTTTATAGAAGATGGTGATGGGTTAAACAAGTAATCCCAGCACATCAGGTGATATTTTATTCCAAGAAGGCTGGGATTATTTTCAAAATAGGGAACTCTATAACAGCCAGCCTTAATGTCATGCAAATAATATGGTTAGTTGGAAAATAAGTTTGCAGTTGAAGGCAACCACCTTGTTTTGTCACTAATTATGTGGGTTTATTGCCTTTCAGACACACTGTTATTATCATGGCATTGTTGAAGGAATTGCTGACTCAACAGTTGCTCTCAGCACCTGTGATGGCCTGAGGTATTATCTCTTGCTTTTTCAGGATGATTCCTTGTGCAGTACCAAAGTAAAACAGCAAAAAACCCCAGTTGCTATTCATACAGCTGGGAAAAATCCTGTCTTGCAAATATTTTTTTTAATATTTTCACCTTCTGATGAAGCTGAAACTCTTTACAGGTTTTATAGTTTCCCTCAACTCCCACTTTTTTTCCTCTTTTCTAAAATTCCTTCAGAGAAAAAAAAATGAAACATGACAGAAACCATAACCTACTTTAGGCATGAACTGAGGTTTCTAGTACTTGATGTGAATATTTTGACCAGAAATACTTATGTAGGAAAAATGCTGCCTAATTAAGCTTTTGATGCACTTAAAACACTCCTGAAAACAATTCTGTCCTATAAATGGGCACGTTTCAAAAGACAGACCATTTCCATGAAAAAATGTTGACCAAATTTGAATTTGAAACATTTTTTTGTGTTTCAAATACAATAAAATTACAAGTGGGATAAAACTCAGGCACATATCTTTTGTGTATAGTACCACAGTGAGATGTCACTCACAATAAATCATGACATATCCTGGCATTCCTTTAAATGAAGGAAAGAAGGTCAATGTTCTAGTATTTCATGGAATGCTGGATCTCACTGTGCAGAATAGATATTGCTTTTTGACTGTTCTACAGATTTAGACTCGCTTTGTACTCACATTTTTGAATTTCTTCTTTTCCAAGATCTAAACTAGAGAATTCTTGTTCTAAGTATAGTTTTGAGATTCTAGAGAACAAGATAACAGCTTCTGAAAGATTCTTGTACAGCAAATGGGCATTTACCAGGGGTTTCTGAGCCAGGCACAAATGCAAAATCTTTGTACTTGGCTGCACTCAGCAGTGCAGTGTTGCTCTTGTCCTCATAAACACCCTGCTGATTGCTTTTAGCCTCTCCTTCTGTCTTACAACATATCTTTTTTTAAATTGCTTTAGCTGCATGGGGCTGAGAGTGAGACTAGAGATAAGGACTAAGAGAGACCTTTTGCATCAGCTTTTTACCCATGATCCAGACTCATTTAGTAACAATTTGCCTCCCTTATCTTTTTTTTTCCTTTCGTTTCTCTCTGATTCAAGGAGCCCACACTTGTGTACAACTGAGTATTTTAAATAAGTTCTGTTCTGTCTCTTGTTGGACATTTGAACTTACCCCCCATGTTAGGATAATTTAAGATAATTATCTCAGCACAGCAGTGTGAACAGTTCTAGTTTGTAAGCATCCAGCTGTCATTCACTCACCTGGTCATAACTGTGAGGGAAAAACCTTGGAATAATTTTTCATTCTGATATGATTTTTTAGGGGAATCCTCTACATTGGTGGCAAATGGTATGGAATGGAGCCACTCAACACATCCAGCACATTTGAACACGTGTTTTATGAATTAGAAGACAAGCAGGACGTGCCCTTCCACTGTGGGGTGCTGAACGGCAGCCTTCAGCACGAGAAGATGTTTGTCAAGCAGGCTGTGGAGTACACATTCTCATCAAACACTACCTCTAGCAGGGAGAAGCTTTTGAGGGTAAATATATTCCCATTTCTCTGTTGAGCTGCAGTCCAAGCCATCCCCTCAGTCTGTTCCAGCAGCCAAGGGCTTCCAGAGCTCTTGCTTTGGCACAGTGTCACTGGACCTGGAGGCCACTTCCTTGTGGCCTTCCTTTTCATGGATGCCAAGCCAAACTGGTGGGAATACTGCTAAGGAAATCCTGAAAGAGAAGACCACAATGGGAATTTAACATAGCTTGAAGCAATCCTGCAGTGGAAGAGCAGAGGCTGCCCAAGACAGCCATGGGTAGGACAGGAAAAGCATGAGCTGCCATTCAGCTCACCCACCCCAGTGCCTGACCTGGTGTGAATTACTGGTATCTAGAATAGAAAACTAAAGCCACATTAGAAAATGCAATTAGAACAGTGCTTTATAAACACATAAAATAAAAATCATGAGAAACATAAGTAAAAAGCCTTGAACTTGTTAGCTTATTGCCCTTTCTCATTTGCAGGAGAAGCGAGCTGTCCTGCCTCAGAAAAGCTATGTAGAATTATTTGTGGTTGTGGACAACCAGAGGGTAATTATTTCACCTGACCTTAAATACATTTTATTATTTTGTTAGTTTTCTTTCTTTGACATTCTTGTGGTGTTTTACAGTTTTTGCTGAAGAATTCTGATCCTGCTGCGGTGCAAAAGGAAACAGTTGAGCTGATTAATTATGTTGATGGGGTAGGTCAGATAAGTCGCCTGGATTGAGTAATTTCTACCTTATCATAGTTTCCAAAAGAACAGCTAATGTAGTTCTGAAACTGTATTTGGAAGTTATACAACAACCTGTAACACAGTTCAGGCACATCAGGAATCTCTTCACAAGTCTTGTAGAATTGCAAACAGGGGGAGAGATATAAGATGTTTTCAAATCACTTCTGTGGTTTGACTGCTTCAGTCTCCAGCATGTTTTACATTTCTAGGAAGAGTATTTCTTATGTTTTTTAGTTTTTTTAAAGAAAACTGTCAGCACTGTGAACAATTCCATAAGCTCTCTGATCACCTGTTCCCAGTTTCTCTCAAGACAATTAGCCAAGGAAATGAATGAACATGGTCTTCCCAACTTCTCTAACTGAAACATATGTTTAGGTATCTTCATAAAGTAGATTTTCTTCAGTTATATTTAGCTTTATATTCTAAATAATTTTATTTACTTTATAATTTACAAATGTTTTATATTTTAATTTATAAATACAAATATACATTTAGTTTCAAAGAAACCAAAGTTCTGTCTTGGTCACTAAGTTCAGCTCAGTGTTTACTCAGTAATAGTGAAGTCATCTTTCAGAATTCCATCAAAACAGACTGATGGACATTCATTATCATTATATTTTTTTCAGATGTATAGACCATTAAACATCCAGATTGTTTTGGTTGGATTGGAGATTTGGACAGATGCAAACCACATATCTGTAATGGATGGTTCAGCTGGGGATGTTCTGGGTAGATTTGTTTCTTGGAGACAGAAAGATCTTCTTAAGAGATCAAGAAATGATGTCAGTCATCTCATAATGTAAGTTTTCATTCAGTGGGAGAACTAGCCATGCTGCCAGTGTTAATGTATATCATTTGAGGGTTGTATATGAATAAAAATATAGCTGGAGTAAAATTCACTGCACTTCCAAACTGTTTTAACCTGGAAAAATGGCAAGAAATATAATGAATTCTCAAGAGTTAATCAACTCCAGGGCAGGGGGTTGGACCAGGTGACCTCCAGAGGTCCCTTCCAACCTCAGCCATGCTGTGATTCAGTGAACCCAGAAGCACTGGCATTATTTTCAAGCTGTTATTCCTATTTTCATTATTAATTACAGCGAAATCCTGATGTGGTGATAAATTTCTCCTTGACTTCAGGAGGACCAAACCTTGCCTTGCAGTATTTCTTTCAAACTCATCGTTGTCTTTTAGTAGAAATCATGAACTTTCAACCCATCTTTCAGTACCACCTTCAAACTGCTTTTGTTGCAGAGGGAGAGGCTCTTTCAGGGGATCCATTGGAATGGCTTTTGTGGGTACTGTCTGCTCACAAGTGCAGGGAGGGTCAATCAGCACTGTAAGTACATCATTTTGTGGGTGATGGAAGAAATTAGCCCTTGACCAAGTCACCCTGGTCTTGGAGACTAGACTTGAAGTTGTATGGTTTTTTTCATGGGATTTATTATGTAAAGATTTGTGCATATTTTACAACTTTTTCTTTTTTTAAGTACTTCCCACTTTCTCTCTTTGTCAAACTCCAGCCCACTTGGCAGATTTACTCCTCAAATAATTCTTTTGTTCACCTTTTGTAATTCATCTCAGTGTTGCATTAAAAAGCCCATCCTCACAACATTAAAGTCTATAACCAAAGTGGTTTGGGGATGGGCATGAAGCACAAAACAATGTGTGGGGTTTTTTACTCTTTAAATAAATACTGAACATAATGCACTATATTCCCAAGTGTCTGGAATTCCCCACAGGAAGGCTGTAAACTTGAAAAAATTTCAAGTATGGAAAAATTAATAAGAAACTATTTTTTCTCCACCCTCGGGGAGGTTGGAGGGTTTCCTGTTCTTAAAATAGGGATGCCAGAACACTGTGGACAATCTCAGAAGCAGATTTGGTTCTTGAACAGTACATTTGTCATTGAAGACTCCGTTGAAATCAGTCTCATGAGTGATTAACTGTGTTAGAACAGAATAAATAAACTAATGTCAGCTGGGAGGAACCTACAATGGTCATCTAGTCCAGCTGCCAACTGTTATTCAGAATATGATCCTCATGGAAGCAACAGGAGTGGCAGAATCTGCCCCCACCTGAAAATAAAGTGACAAATTGTCTGTCCTTGCTGCTTCTGCCTTGTGATGTAGTTTAGTATTCTGACTTCACAGTCTCCAAGAGCTTGGTGGAGGGAATAAGACACTAGGTACAAACAGTATTTTCTTTAGTGTCACCTATTTTTTAACACTGGTCTCCCTGTTAGTTGAATCATGACAATATGTTACGTCACGCCACGGTGGTTGCACATGAGTTGGGGCATAATCTCGGAATGAAACATGATGATAAGAGGTGTCCTGCATCCTATATCATGCACAGCACAGATAAGTAAGATTTCCAATTATTTGGTCTTAAGAAACTTATTTTATTTGCATGACTGTGCCTGACAAGCTGTGAAACTCCTCTGAATCTTGAAGAACTTTTGTGATGGGGAGTTGTTTGAAAAATTTGGTCACAGAGCTGGATTCACTGAATTAGGATTTCACATAAATTTAATTTATTTCAAATGTTACCTGTTTCCTGACCCAATCATTCTTTATTTGTAGTATTCTTAAAAACCTAATTGAATTTTATAATATTTTTTTTTAAAATGATAGTGTGTTGCTGGTTTTATTTTTACCCTGCTGAGAATGCTTTAAATATACTCACTAGGTTCATGCAAATATGCAGCAAATATTTAACAGTTAATTTAAACAAAACCTCTTGGCTTATGTTTCTTTCAGTTCATTTGTTCTTTGGCTTCCCCTTAAGAGAAAAAGATCATATTATTTATTTATCCACATTTGTGTTAATAAATCAGGGTAATAGAACACTGGACAAAACTACTATAAGAAGGTGAATTCCTGAGTTTTTAGGGACTCTAAGGTGAATGTCTTTCTAATCAAACATTTTTAAACTCAGTAAAGACAAGGAATTTCTAAGGCCTGTTTTATACAGGACACCAGAACATATAATCTTGCTTCTGAAAGTATGTGTATTTATATTATAATAGTATTTTTTAACTTCTAGTACTGCACTTCAACGCAAAATAAAGTAAAAATTAACTATCTCATTATCTCCTAGCATTATGAAATGCAACATTTACTATAGAGTGACAATATTTTAAGAGCTTGAGTTGTACATTTTCCTGTAAACAAAATACTTACAATAATAAAATATTATGCTTTCCAGTGGATCCAGGAATTTCAGCACCTGCAGTGCTGATGATTTTGAGACCCTTATTCTAAATGGAGGAGGAAACTGCCTTAGAAATCCTCCCATGACGAGTAATGTGTACAGAGAACCTGTCTGTGGTAATAATGTGGTTGATAACAACGAAGAATGTGACTGTGGCAAACCACAGGTAATGGGTGAAATTCAACTGGAGACTTGTTGTATTACATTATATTATATTATTCTATATAATACTGGCCTTTTGGTATACATGATTGCATTATATACCTGAGGAGTTTTCCTTGTAATTTTCCTTTTTTGCCATCAATATGAAGATAAATTTTAGTTAAAGCTTAAAATCATACTTTGATTTTGATGTGGACTCAGTTAAAGGCTAGAATGTTGGGGCACTGCTGGGAAAGAAGTGCATTTTGGAGCAGAGTATGTGGAAATACAACTGGGTTTTGTGCTGGTTTTAGCATAGACATTTCTGTTACATGACAGAGATTACTTATCTGTAGAGCACATACAGGTTTCTTAACTGGAACCCTTAAACTTTGCCCACACTAAATTACTTTTGTGAGTCGTTATTTGCATTGCCAAAATGTCCCTTGAAGCATGGGATGTGTTGGCTTTTTCTCCAGAAAATAAAAGTGTCTCAAAAAAGACATCAATAAATCAAAAGGCTGTCACCAACCCCTGGTTCCATTGGCATCCCTGTGCCACAGCACATCAAACCAGGTGTTCTCCTGATGACTTGTACTCAGAAAACACAGCCACTGGTTCCTGTTAGAGCAGAAGGCTGTCAGAACATGGTAGAGACAGGGATTTAAAGTCTGGCTTGCACTTGTACTGATGATGTACTTTTCTAGCTATATAAGGAGATAAAACCAGTGTCCCCTTGTCCATGGCTGTTCCTCAGGAATGCTCCAACCCCTGCTGTGATGCTGCAACCTGCAAACTCACACCTGGATCCCAGTGTGCTCAAGGACTGTGCTGCAAAAATTGCAAGGTGGGTAATGCATTATTAAGCAAAAATGATAAGACTCACTAGAATTTTTTAATGTTTGAAAAGAGCTGATCTAGTCCCCTTGACATATTTTCACACCATCAAACCGTGTTCACCAGTAGAGGGCATTTGAAATTTGAGAAAGGAGATAAATTTGTCTCCCTTGACATCACTAAAGGTTGTCATTGTTTCACACTAGAACTTCTGATGTTGCAAACTGACAGTGGCTTTCCTCTCTGGTTCCAGTTCAAAGTGGCAGGAGCAGAGTGCAGAGCCAAAAGGGATTTCTGTGATCTCCCTGAATACTGCAATGGAAGCAATGCCTACTGTCCAGAGGACGTTTACATCATGAATGGTCACCCATGCAGCAACAACAAGGCATATTGCTACTATGGAGTTTGCCAGAGTTTTGATTCACAGTGTGAAGCTATATATGGGAAAGGTATGTTTATTATTTAATGTAAAACCACTGGTAGTCTCCTGATAGACTTTTCCAATTTTTCTTTTTTCTTCCTTGTGTTTTTCAGACAGCTTACAAAGATTTACTGGGTTTTTTTTTTTTGTGCAGGGGCACGGAAAGCACCTGATATATGCTTTGAGAAAGCAAATATTAAAGGAGATAGGTTTGGAAACTGTGGAATGAAAGGTGGAGTGTACAAGAAATGCCCTGTCCAGTAAGTCACCAGCAAATAAAACTAACCCTAAAATCTTCAATGTAAAAAATGTATGCTCTTGCAAACCCTTAAAGTGTGAGATTTAAAGAATATTTCCTCAAAGTGCAAGCTAAAAAATTTGACTGGATGGTGTATTTTCACTGATACTGGGGTTTTTTTCTGTTCACCTTGTCTCTGAGTGTCCTTCATTCAATACAGGCACAGTCTGTGTGGCAAACTCCAGTGCACATCTGTCAGTCTCCAAAACCTTCCTGCCTGGAGTGTTGTCAATAATGCATCTGGGGTTTTATGCTGGTCTTCTGACTTTGACCTAGGGACAGATATCCCTGATCCTGCTCAAGTTCATGAAGGGACAGCCTGTGGAGAAAACAAGGTAAGAGGCATCACAGCAGCATGATAGAATATATCCCACCAAGTGGAAAGTTCTTAACTTCCAAAGGCATTACAGAGCTCTCTTGTTTGTGTGTTGTAATACAGTGAAAAACCTGCTTTTTGAAATCTACAGAAACAATTAATTAGCTCTGCAAAAACTGGGATGCTACAAATCAGTCAACTACATTATCAGTTATTCAAATTATTCCATCAAACTGCATCCACAGGGTTAAGAAAATGTGATAAAAATACAGCTACAAAATTGTGAGGTTCTGAATGTTCTATCACCCCTTTTTCTTGACATTTAAGTGAAAGCTGTAGCCTTGTTGTAAACATATGCATTTATATAGTATATTTATAAAGGGATGGGATTTTTGTTTAGTTTTGTGTTTGCAAGACTCTAATTACTTCTTCCAGGCCTGTGTAGGTTTCGAATGTGTTGATGCAACATTTCTGGGCTACAACTGTGATGTAAAGCAGAAGTGTAATAATAATGGGGTGAGTAGATGGTGCTTCATGTTTCTAGACTGGTTCAAGTTCCCTGCATAAAAGCAACAACCAGCCAGATGGCTTTGCTTTTTTTCTGATCTGTATTAAAAGTTAAATCCACTTTTTTACCTGTAATTCCTGTTGCCAGAGCAAACCTCTTAGCACTAACATTGAAAGGCAATTCTTCAGATTTTCCCAAGGGAATTTTTTATTATCACTGAGCTGTTAAGTTGCTAAAGGAAAATATTCCTTTGAGGAAGATGGTCTAGTAAGTCCTGATTTATATATGCCTCTGTGAAAAATCAAAATGGAGTCCCAAAGGCCGTAAAACCGAGTTCTTCGGACTGTAATTTATTGGAGGCAAATAACAACACAAATGTTAATTTTTACTGAGAATTCCCCTGAGGTATCAGGCTCACTCAGTGATTTGGGATGTTATGAAGGGGGAGAGCTTATTCTCAGTTAACACTTCATGTATTTCTATGCAATACTGTGCAGTATTCCTTGTTTCCTCATGCAACTCCTTACGAGGAATTCCAGGTCCCTACTCCGGGCCGCTCTCAGAGAGGTGTTGCTGTTTGACTAATCCCCGTGTAAGGGCTGTAGGTGTGTTACAACAATGGGAACTGCCACTGCCTGACTAATTAATCCCTGTTGTACTGGTGTAGGTGTGTAACAACAACGGGAACTGCCACTGCAATGCAGGATGGGCCCCTCCGTTCTGTAACCAGTCTGGCTACGGAGGCAGCGTTGACAGTGGTCCTGCCCACATAGGTAGGACACTGAAACTGGCCTTCCTTCTGCCCCAGGGTCTCATAAAATAAACTACTAATAGCAGGGGTTTTTTTCAGTTTATTTTCAGCTGGTTTTTTTCTACTGCATGAGACACTTAGTTGTGGACTTGAAGACCAAACATTATTATCTGCTAATGAAGTAGCATTGCTGGGCTTTACACTTTACACACTTTAAAAATGAAGTTCGCAATCTGTAGCTTTGTGAGGAGAGAAATAATTCACATTTTGCCAGATTTTACTCAATTTGTGTTTTGGGAAAGGGAAAAAAAAAATGTTTTGTATTTATTAAAAGTTTAGGAAGGCAAAGAGGATGTGCAGAGCAATTGTGGGTGAGCAGATACAAAGTCACAGAGTCACAGAATATTCTGAGTTGGAAGGGACCCACAAGGATCATCAAGTATGTTGAAGAAATATATGGAAAAGGAAAAATTTTGTATATCACGGAACACAGGGGGGTTAAAGGCAGAAAGAACTTGTAATAACATAAGGCCAAATCCTACTTTTCTGATCGTAGCGTTTTATAAATTTCAATGAAGTTTCAACTGGAAATAATTTGAAGGTTGTACTGTTTACAACAGAAAAAAAATGTTTTAATATTGTAAATTTCATTATTTCAATTCTTTTTTCTCTAGACACATCACTTCGGGATGGGCTGCTTATCTTCTTCTTCCTTGTGCTGCCAGTTGCCATCGTTGCTGCATTAGCAATAATTAAGCGGGATGCAATAAGGAGAAAATTTTGCAGGAAGAGTAGAAGACAGCACAGGTATTTCCCTTCTTACAGGTGCTATTTGGACACATGAGAGCAGGTTAATTTAGCAAGCCAGGTAGATGCTTTATCTACACAAAGAATTCCACACCCCCTAAAAGACAAGCCTTCCCTGCTAATAGCAGTAGCAGGTAGTTCAGTCCCCTGCTATTTAGTAGTTTAATCCAGATACTCCAGTTGTCAGTTCTCAGGTGCTTTTCCCAAAAAACATTGCACTTGCCTAATTGTTATTGATTGTATTGCCCATGGGGACAGAGCACATTGAAATGGCTTGTCAAGTCCAGGCAGGGCTGGACTCACAAGCAGAATCCAGATCCTCTGAGTTGTAGCCTTGTCCTTTGAAAATGCTGCATCCCTGAAGCAATTTTCTGATCACATGGTTTCTATTTCAGGGATAACAATGTGCAGGAAGCAAAGCAAGATAACAAACCAAGTCATGACACAAGAAATAATCAGGTGAGAGATGCATACTTGCATTATTGGATGTTAATACAAACTCTACAGTGCCTTTTCTCTAACATAATTATTTATGACTGTGTGGCTTTTTGATACACTGAAACCACCTGCATTTCCAAATGTTTAATGTAGTTTAGAATGTATTGAAGAGGATTTCTGTGTGGGTAAGTAGGAGCTTTATTGCCTGCCCTGTCAGCACAGGCTGTGAGTGGGATGGGATGGGACAGGCTGTGATTCAGCAGAGCAGCCAAAGACTCGACAAAGAATTCTACAGCCAAACACTGGGAAATGCTGCTTAACCAGGCTATGGAACTAGTTCTGATTAAACAGTGAAGCTAAAAGCTATCAAAACAAAATGTTGCAAGAGAATATGAAGAATGTCCCCCAAAAAATGAAAACTAGTTCTTAAATACCATTATCTTAATACTGAACAATTGCATACACTTCGTGTTTTCTGTTAACCTGATTTTTTGCAACGTGTTTTCCAGCCTGCCACATCAAGTCCAGATATTTTTACCATATTGCATTTTCCTGGTACAAGGTTTGTAGCACTTAAAACCTTCTTCACTTCACATTCTATGTGTTTACATTGCTGTATCACTGCATATGAAGTTCCCGATGTCTCGTGTCCTGTTTAGGAGAATTTTTCATGCAGCATCATGAGCTATAATAGATTGAATGCCTGAGGGAGAAATGCTGTTTTACTGCTTGTTTAGAAAACAGCATAAATGCAGGTAAATTCTACAGGAAGGGGCAGAGAGAGTTAGGTATAAATGTATGTATAAATGCTAGAAACTGTTTAAGGAATGGTGAAGAACCACTTTAGAAATACCAGTTGTCTCAAGTAATGAAAATCTAAACATGACGTGTTTTCCACGCTTCAGGCACCCAGTACAAACCCAATTTCCTGCAGTTCCCTCAGGACCTCAACGACCCCCAGTCCCACCTAGACCAGCAGTCTGAAAAGCTTCTTGGGAACCCTCAACCAATTCTGACAAGTAACTGGCCTGAAAAAAAACCAAATTACAAGATTTCAATCCTCCAGTCCTCTCCTTGTGCGGCCAAAATGCCTTTGGGAAGCACGTGCCTCTGGGAAAGGCTGGATGCCAAGAGGCACTGAACGCAGATTTGGTGACTCCCAATGTTTTGCTACTTGCTGCTGGCTGTGTTTGTGCCTCCTCTACCTCACCTCTTGGTTTTTTAAATCAGAAGCCTGAAGTTCAACACTCATAGGATTACACTTGTGACAGTGTGTAAGTCTGAGGTGCAGGCCAAGGAGAAGTGAATTCATTTATTTGCAGACATGATTTATTCAGCTCTGGGGACAGTCCCTGGGCACTGCTCTGAGACCTGCCTGCCATCAGCCCTTCAAAGCTGGGGCCCAGAGCCCCCCTCTCATGACCACCAGCTCTGTCCCTTTCCATTTCAGGTAGTTTATAAAAGTAACCTCATATATGGGGACACCAGAAACACCGTGCCTGACTCTGAAAGAAACTGTCCAGCTGCTGTTATAGAAAATGTGGGATATTGGGAAATACACTGTACAACTCAACAGTTGTTCAGTGTTTACTGCTTATTGCAGCTCGGGATTTTTGCTTTTGTCCACTACAAAAGCAACAGATTAACTTCTGTCATTCTAAATGAGACAATTAAGACACCACCACTGATTTAAAATGGAACATATGGAGTGGCACAGCTTGTCCAAACGGGTCCCCATCCAATGTTTCCATCCAGGAGAGGGATCCAGAAAATCTCAGGAAAAAAGTCTCCATCGAAATGGAGAAGCAGCTGCTGTGCAGAGACCAACTCGCTGGGAAGGACAAAACTCTGGATACAGATCCTCCTGTCCAACAGGGAGTAACGAACAGACTGGCTGTGTTCGTGCCAATTTGGGAGTATGAACTAGGAAAAGGAGTGAAAAAAATATAGGATTGCCTCACCAACAAAATATTTCTAAGCCCACAGATGGCCACATCACCGAAGAACTGGACAAAAGAACCCAAGATGTATTGCAGGCAAAAACCTGCACTGGCAAGGAGTGTCTGCCAAAGAAGTGTCCTCTTCCTTAATCCCTCAGGATCTTAAATTGTTATTATAATTAAATAACTTAAACAATTAAGATTTTTATTATGAATTATTCCTGTAATTTAGACCTCAGTCATCGGGGGCAGCACACTCGGTGGGTGGTATCTTTGTTTTATGATCTTAAAAGCCACCGCTGGGTACACAGGAAGGGCTCAGCCATTTGACGCTTCTGGGAGCCACCAAAGCGAATTATTGAGTTATTGTGACGCGAGAACGGGGTGAAAAACTGGGTAAAACCAGAATTGTGTGAAAGGGGCCGATTCT